TTACCTTACCAGGTTGCTGTGGCCAGACCCCAGGACTTGCAGAGGTATTATACTGTTCTGGCCGAGATGTGGTTAATCTATTTTCTGTGTTGCTATCTTGAACCGGTTGCAATTTGGGGTGCCATGAGGTTGAGGGACCTGATCCCTGGGTAGAATGATGTGGAATTACAATAACTGGGTGGATCTTACAAAGGAAGCAACAGTTGTATAGAGTTACCTGTTTGCTTCCATCCCCCCACATATGGTACTGCTGGTTACCAAATATCTCCATGATTCTCCATGTTTTTGTCCATCAACGAGGGTAAGGGCAATCTAGATTCTGGATCTGAATAGAATTCCCAATTTAGGTGACATTGTTCATTGTAAACGTGTCTTTTAGCATTTGCCTTTTTAGCATTGCTGCCTCCATTCACCAATTTCTCTCCATTGTTTATATATCTAGTATTTGTTCCATAGGACAGAGAAGTGGTCTTTGATAATATGTCCATATAACATCATAGCAAGAGACATACCAAGATCCAGGATGGGAGTGTTGCATTGGTTCAGCAAAGCACAGGCTGCATGATCATGATACAGCTGACCACAGCTGTCCATGTTATCTGTCAGTATATGCTTAGGCATTTTGATGGCCAGTTCTACCCAGCCACTGCTTTGTGGGTTGTAAGCTGACAAAGTATGTTTCCATATTTCCCTATTCTTAAGGAACGGGATGGTACCAGGCATCACTGATATGGGTTTTCTGCATTGGCATGTGCACAGGGCATTTTCTTTTGTGCCCTTCAACGAGTTGAGTCATGATGTCTGGGTTGGGAAATCAGGTAGCAACAAATGTCGGTCCTTCAGGGCAGATTTTGTTAAGTAAAAAAACAAAAAAAAAAAAACAGATGTGTTGTTTGACACATACACCGCCTGTCATGTCTCTCTCAAGCCAATTCTTATATGCATTAACAACATGCCTTTTATATGAAGATGGTCGTCTGTGATTCCCTGTATTTAATGACTAGTTGGCACAAATTACTCATCTGGGCACCTGAGTAGTTTTAATATCTCTGGTTCATTTGAACAAGTTTGAGCCCCTGTATCAGTGAACACAAGAATGTGATGACTACTGTGGCTAACTGAACCACTTTCCATTCCATGCAAGATTAGTCACAGTACTGGGTGGTATCAAACCAGTTTCACAGTTTTCGATCTACCAGTATAGTGGATGGTGCATGGGGGATATTCAGACTATTGTTTGAGAAAGGGAATAAATTATGGCTTGTTTTGCACCTTGTTGATCTGTTTGTGTTTCTAATTTCAATTTTAGTAGATATCTGGCATACCCTTTTTACATGACCCTTAATCCTGCAAATATACCATACCAGTTTAGCTGCTGTGCAATCTCTCCTACAAATTGATCCATCTGTGTAGACTGTCTTCCTGCAACCCACACAAGGATTATTATTCAGCAACTCCTTATACCAAGTCAAAGAGTCAAGGAATAATGTCCATTTGTTGCCAATTGTACTGGGTTCAATAATAGGATAGTTTTCTTTTTCTTTTGTTGGATGTTTGCATCGCATTTAGGGTTCTGTTCCTCCAAAGGGCAAGAGTTTATTTCTTGCATGGTGCAGATGCTATATCTTGTTAAGATAGTTTCACATATTCATCAGACCCTGTTTAAGTGCCATGTAAAATAACCATAACAGCAATGGTAGTAGTAATTCTTAATTACTTTATTCTCATACCAACAACGTACAAATACAAAAATGCACTTGGCCCCTGACCAATCAGCTGTTTATATAACACTGGATGATGTAACTCATGTCTGCCTGTGGAAGTCATTCATTATCTGGGATCTTCCATTTTTACTTTACAGTCTTCAGAAGTCAAATTTCCTGAAAAATTGTTTTAAGAAAATTTTTTTATAAATTTCAATCAACAGTAACTCTGTTCAATGAATGCTGAATTTTTACTGTATGGAGACGGCTATTTTAACTATTTCTGAATGGTCTAATCATTTAGGTCTGTTGAATTCATTCTCAAATATATATTTATATACTTCTGTCTTTTATTGTGATTGGTCCTTGTCAGGATTGACTAAAGGGATAGTTAATGGAATTTTGCTACCTGCTTAGTCACAGTAGTCACATCCATTTTCTTTTCTCCCACTTATGGTAGATAAGTGTTGAGACCTATTGTTCAGATAGTAGAACCTTTGCAAGAATTAGAATCTGCTTTGCCAATTCTATTTTCCTTGCTGATACTAGTTACATCATCTTGTGACTTAATTCCTAATTATTTCAAATGTGCTATACAATTAGCTTGATAGGTTTCCTGCATTTTGGTAGATATGCATGGAAACTGTCATAGCTAATTAAGAATAAAATACAATCCAATAAAGTTTATCAATTTTTGTAAGCAAAATAAATAAGTTAAAATATATATATATGTAAATGACAATAGGAAAACTGTAATAGTTGCCGACGTGTTTCGTCCAATGTGGACTTTTTCAAGGCAAAAAACAAAATGAATTTATTAAACAGAGTAACAAATAATAAAACAAAATGTCCTTAACTGGAAGAATTTAGAGAACACTACTTTTCATACTGTTAACTGAAAATTACATCAACAATTATGTCAGTTAACAGTATGAAAATAGTGTTCTCTAAACTCTTCTAGTTGCTAAGGACATTTTGTTTTTATTATTAGTTACTTTAATAAATTCATTTTTTTTTTCGCCTTGAAAAGTCCACATCGGATGAAACGTCGGCAGCTATCATAGTTTTCTATTGTCCTTTTTTCATCAGGTTTTCATATATATATATATATATATATATATATATATATAAAGCAGTAAAAAAAAAAATTGAAATTTTATAAAAATGAAAAAGAAATTTAATTATTAGCAAAAATTTACCATCTCAAACTTTATTAGTATTTAATTAATCTTAGTCAATTAATTGTATATGCAAAGGTTTGTTTATGGATTTAATTTTACTATGGGGATGGGGAAATTGGTTATTTGATAAAAACTCACAGGAGTTCATATCATGATCTAATAATTTTCACTTATATAAGAATAAAATAAAGAGTCAATATAACTTGGAAGATCATGCAGCACCAAGTTTTGTCTTATACACTATGGTGACAAGAATATAGATTGAATGTGAATAGAAGCAATGACAAGTGAGGCCCCCATAAAAGTTAGCTGACCAAGTCTACTTGGATCAATGATGATTATAACACGTCACCCATCTTTGTCCTGCAAGGGTTCAAAGTTAATGTCACCACTTACATCAATGTGGCGGACATGGGTCAAGCATTTATCTTGGCATGCATTTGCTTCCAAGACCATATTAGGGTGGAGAACGGTTGTATTGAATCCCTTTTTCAGTTTGTCTCAGGGGAACCCTTCTACAATTATTTTTTAAAAACATACCAATTTTCTTTCCTATTGAATATATTTGCTTTTCTTTTATAATTTGGACTCAATTACTTGTCACATTCTGAGTATGTGTTTTAGAAACAGACATGCACACAATATTTGATAAGGCACCTTGGCATGGTACAAAGGTTATTTTGGTTGGAAATTGCTAAGTGAGTAGGGAGCTTGATCCTTGTTGGATTCCCCATATAAAAAAATTTGACATTGAATAAACCAACCAGTGCTGAAATTTTATGAAATTAACCTATTTAAGAGTACACATAGTATAGTGTCTTCTGACAAAATTACTGAGAAAAAAAAATTCATTTGTCCAAAATTTAACCTTTACTATCATAGTTCAGCATTTTTTTGAAAAAATAAAAAAAAAAAAAAAAGCATTTTCTTTTTATCTTCGTACCCCATGCACTATATATATATATATATATATATATATATGAAAGGTGCTCAAAAGTTCTCAGACTGATTCACCTCTTAAAATCTGCCCAAACAAAATTTTAAAGGGAATTCATTTTTAATTTAATTCCCTTCTTGATTGAGCCAAGAACTGTTCAATTGCGTGTGTGTGTGTATATGGATATTTATGTATCTTGTAAATGTATGCATCTATATTTGTTCAAAATGTGTAATATTTATGGGAGTGGAAAGTGTTCAATACCAGAGATGTAGTGTGTGTGTGTGTGTGTCTGTGTGGACAAGACTCTTGAATGCACAGGCTGGAAGACATAAATTAATACAGTTTTAAAAAAGAAAAAAAAAAACAGGATATCTATTGACATGTTTAAAGCAATATATGTATTAGCTGACATGTGTATTTGTACCAGGAATTAATAAACTTACAAAGACAAAAAGAAGTATTCAGATAAAACACAACCAAAGGAAAAAACAAAAAAATAAAAAAACATACAAAAAAAAAAAAAAAAAATATGTACCTCGATTTAAAAGTAAATAAAGCACTCCAGAGCCTAAACTTTTCTAGTTTTTTCAATAGCAAAATCCTACCTAGGTTAGAACATTAGAACAAGAAATGTTCAAAAATTCTTTTCTCTTAGTCATGGCAAAATAATGATTATATATATATATATATATATATTATATATGTGTGTGTTTGAGAGAGGCCTCCAGTAGTTAAGTAATAGTAAGTTTTTTTTTCAGACTGGTTTTAGCCATTTACTAGAAAATATTTTTGTATAATTGATATTTCTCTAGGAATTGAATTTTAATGATACTTTAAATTTTTAGATTATTTAAATGATTCAACAACATTCAGTGTTTTCCCTTTTATCATTTCTGAAATTTTTTTTTTTTCTTTTTAATCAAAAAATTCGTTTTCCCTCCTCCTATTTTATTTATTTTTTCATTTTTATTTTTTATACTTACAATTTTTCATTTTGCAGTCATAAATGAAAACTTGCAAGATTAAAAAGGCAAATGTCTCTCTGCAATTCCTTGACCATTTCACATTCTTGGCTACCATGTTTCTTGTGTGTTTTTTTTTTGTTCCCCCTTCTAACACGGTTTGCTATCTTCTTCTTCTTCTTCTTTTCCCACTTTTCTTTCTCTTGCTGCACAGAACGCTATTCGCACCAACTTGTCCCTGCATAAATGTTTTGTAAGATATGAGGATGATTTTGGATCTTTTTGGATGGTGGATGACTTTGAGTTCGTTAGGCGCCGCCATCTGACTCGTGGACGACCCAGAAAGTATCAGGAAAGTGAGGCTGCTGCACAGTAAGCACTAACTGGTTCTTTCTACCTTTCTCTCTCTCTCTCTCTGACCTCCTCACTCTACCCAGCGGCCTCTCTTATACTCTTCTTCATATTCTTTTCTTCTTTATTGTCATAAACTCTTTATTGCCCACTCACTCAGTCTCTTTCTCTATTTTTCAATTGCTTCATATGTCCATCTTTCTATCTACCTCTTTTCTTTCTAACCATCTTTATCATTCTATTTCTCTCTCTCTCTCATTTCTCCTTTCTTTGTTTTTCTATTTCTTTCATTGACAGATTTTCCATTTTCATTTCTTCTCTCTTTCTTTCTTCTGTTTGATTTTAAGTTTTTTTTCACTCTTCCTTACTATAGCATGTTTACATTCTACTATTACTGCTACAACTTTTTCTCCCCCCAATATCCTCACTTTTTTCTCATATTGCCCTCTCTTCACTATCTCTTCCATTGTCCATCATTCTTGCATTGCTATAGAGAGTTTGATTTTCACCACTCCCCAGTACCATCACCAGTCATCTTGACCATAGTCTTCTAACAACCCATGCTGGTAGATCGCTCTATTCCCTGCTGTTAGTACTCTTTAATCCAATACTCTCTACTTGTTGCATGATACTTATTAGAAGAGATGGGCACTGCCAACCAATCTATATGAAGAACAAAAATGTCATACCCAGTATTGTTCTCTGATGAGGAATGTTTACAAAGCTGGTACAGGTCAGGTGATGCCCTACTCAACAAAAAAAAATCCTTGTACAACCTCTTCATTGTCCTTTATTCCCTAATTTGTTTCTGCCAATTTTAACTTTCTTTTTGCATAAAGGCTAAAAGTGGGCTGAAGTTCCCACTGTCACTATTTTCAGGTTACGAAATGTATGAAATGTCATGCTGCCAACCCACACCAATAGTTAAAACCTAATCGAAACACCTGTCCTGGGTATGATGATAAACTACATCTCCTTCCAGGGTAAGACAATAAACTATGTCCAACAGCGAAGCCTCTGATCAGGAGGTTTTGAGGAGCGTGGAACCACCTCTTAATTGCTGGTGTTCCCAGGTCCACTCTGACCTGGGGTGGTAGCACCTGTTAGGGTCCCAACTATGGGCAAATAGTTAACCCTCTAAACTGGGTTTAAACCCCTTCATTTTTTATGAAAAATTATTACCAGCAATACATTTTTGTAAATAATTACCAGCTATACATTATTATCAACAATACTTTAAAAAAAAAAAAAAAAAAAAAAAATTACCAGTAATGAATTTTTGAAAAAAAATATTACAAGCTAAACATTTTTTAAGGAAATTAAAAATTGTTGGCATTAAAGAACCCATTGAGGTTGATATGCCATAAAACAAACCAAACTAATTGAAACACATTGGCAATAGAAAAAAAAAAAACTAGTTCTGACACACTCAATAACAAAGACTAAAAAAGCCTAAAAATATACACTAAAAAGCATTAATCATTCCATTCTAAACATTCTTGGACAGAAAAACTTTCCAACTAACTGATGAAGATCAGTTTTCCTTTACTTTCTTTGTTTTTATTACAATGCATCATCATTAAGACTTCTGTCACCATGGATATACTTATGTCTTTATGAAACTTACATTGCCTGCTGTTGACATATGTATACATTTTCAAGACACTATGAAATGTCAGTTCCAAGCACTTATATTATAAACTAATGAGCACTTACTGCTATTTTCAAACCAGCACAGACATATAGTTGTATACAATACAACCTGTTTTGGGACATATTGTGCATTGCGGAGAATTGTTTGGTTTAGTCTACTGCAGAGTATCTGATCAAAACCAAAATAGCAGTACTCATGAGTAATCCCCAGCAGTGCATTTATAGTTATTTGTCTCCTTTAAATAACACTTTCCTATTTTTTCTAAAACAAACCAGCACAGCCGGGCAACAATGCTATAACAATGCAGCATTGAAAGTGTTAAAAATGATTATTGTTGGAAACAAAAGTATTGCTAATTTGAATTTGTTAAAAGATCAGTTGAAATACATTAAAACAATGTAACTTGTATCAGAATACTGAATTTTTTTTCTTTTAATTAAGCAATATGCAAATTAATTTTTAATTGGGTATGTATAAAATCTTGGTAGATATTTCTTTAAAGATTTAACTTTTAAAAATCTATCTATGGTAGACCATTACTGACATAACTGAATAAAACGAATTGTTCACAGGTTGAAATCAAATAAGTTTTGTTATTGAAACCTCTGTTTAGACAAGGTTAAAAATGAATTTCGTTGAAATTTAGACATGTAGTCACTGAAGTACAAAAAATTGATATTAAATTAACAGGGAAAATAAATAAACAAATATATGTATATGTGTGTAAATATATATAATATATTATATATATTATTTATATATTATATATGTGGCACTTATTGGAAAGTGCTCAATATCAAAGATAGAGCTAAAATATTTAGTTGGATTGATGTGAGTTTGTGACCCTGGGCTTCATGCTTTTGTGATCATCAGACGATCGCTAAAGCGTGAAACCCAGGGTCACAAACTCACATCAATCCAACTTATATATATATATATATATATATAAAGAAAGAACAGTAAGATATATAATCCGGTGTTCTTATAGGTATTTTTATTTTAAAATTCGCTTGAGGGTGAAATGGAACTAATGTCTTTAATTTAATTGCAAAATTAAATTTGTGGCTTTTAGCTTCCATTTTTGAAACATGGTTAGAACTGTGAAGCGGAAAAAAACCATATTTTAAATCAATTAATTTATAATATATATATATATATATGTGTGTGTGTGTGTGTTTCATTTGTTTTTCAAGCTTTCTCTATTAGATTTTGAATCTTTTTAGAAAAAAAAAAAAAAAAAATATTGGAATATGTTAAATGAAGAATTATTATTATATGCCTTGCTGTTCAGACCAGTATAGTCATCTTAGTTGTTATACTCACAACATTTCAACCGTTGTACTACCTTCAAGCCTCCTTCAGTATCTGTCATCGTTCTCAATAACCTGCTTAGAATTTTTAAATATATGCTTATTAACTGATATTCCATATAATTTAATGCACATCAGTCTTATGCAACTTTGTGTTGGTTGCTCGTTTGTTTTTTTTTCGGTTTTTTGTCTTTTTCACTGAGTATGTGACATTTCAGCACTACCAGACCCCAAGATTGAACTCCCAATTGCCAATGCATTAAAGTGTTGGCTATAAGATTTCTAGTTCCCTCAAAGTTGTGAGTTCAATTCCTGGGTCAAGTAGGGTGTAAAAGTCATATACTCTGAAAGAGTAGAAGAAATGGTCAAGTGACACAAAAGTGAATAAGACAGGTAAGTATTAACTGATACAAAAATATCTCCTAATCATCTAAGGAACAATGAGAATTTATTTCTGTCGACTGATGAAAGGATTTGGTTTAAAATTCAGAGAATGTTACTATGACAGCAAATACCTGAAGAAGGCCAAAAAGTAGAATATTTCAAGTATAAAATCCAAGACAGCATGCTGGTCAAAATAACAAAGTGTACAATAAAAATGAACAGAAGATCTACTGACTGTATAATTAAACTGAAAATTTTATAAAGACATCTATGAGAGTATTTTTCAAATAATATTATCACTATTACAGTGTTACATTTAGTAGTAGAAACAAGGAATATAGTTATAGAGTGAATATAGTGATAATAATGGCTGACTTTGAATGACTTATACTGATTAGTCTTTATAACCTAATCAGCGTGATTATGGGCAAACTGGTAACCTAGGATATGGAATTATAGTTCAAATCTTGCTGAAGTCTTGTTCTTTATTTTTCAAACATTATAAGAGTTTAAATAAACAGCCAAACAAGACAAAAGAAAGAAAAATCAAACAAATACACTGTTTTGAGGCTAAGTGAACCTGTTGATTGGTACTCAGTTTTTCAATGGTTATTGATTTGTCAAATAAGGAGTCATCAGTGATTGATTTTATTGGAATTCAAGCCAATCATGAAATCTATTCTCATTTTCTTTCTAATTACTTTCATTGTTTTTCTTCATTTATTATGTTGTCTATCAATTTTAATTCCCACCTCAGTTTTTTTAATTTTTCTTGCATTTTTATTTCTCTTGTCGTGAAACTTATTTTCAAGTTCTCTCTTACTAATATCATCCCTCTTTCTTTCCATATCTAGATTCTTCTAGTTTTTCTTTGCATTCCATCAAACCTTTTTCATCTTTCTTCCATTTTTTCTCTTTTTTTTTTTTATTCCTTCAACCCTTTTTCATCTTTCTTGCATTTTTCTTCTCTTTTCATTCCTTCTATCTTGTTTCATCTTTTTACATTCTTTTTTTTTTCTTCTTCTCTTTTTTGCATTTCTTCTATCTTGTTTCATCTTTTTTGCATTCTTTTTTTCTCTCTTTCTCTCGTTTGTTTCTCTTATTCCAATCACTTTTCACTTCTGTCATTAATCTTACTTGCAAATCTTCTTTCTCTTACTAGTATCTTTCCTCCCTCTCTAGGTTTCTTCTTTTTCTTTCCTTCTCCTCCCCCTTCCACACTGTTCACTGATGCTTCCCATTTTTCCTTCTTCCCCCCCCTTCCCTTCCCAACCTACTGCTAAACTTTCACTGCAAATTTGCTCCCAAGTGTTGCTGCTGGCACTCTGAGCTCACCTTTCTGTTCTGTAGAGATAGATAGCTTCTGTTTTTTTTTGTTTTTTTTTATAGACTTACCTAAGAAAGTTTTTATATATAAAAACATAAATCTCACACCTACATGCACACACTGTTTTATAATATTATATATAAATTTTTTTTTTGTTTTTTAGTTTGTCTTTTTTTCTTTATCCATCCATCCATTCATCCATTTCATTCTTTTTTTTTTTTCTTTTCATTAATTTTTGCCAACATAAAATTTTTCTTCCTTTGTTTTCTTTGTTTTCACTCTGCCTTTGTTTAAAAAAAAAAAAAAACTTGCCTCATATTTTGAATACACCTTATTCAATTTGATAATGTTAGTACTCATGGGTGCCAAATAAATATCACCTTCCTCTACCTCAGTCTGTTTATTTTGCCCCCCCCCCCCGACTTAATACAAGTTGACATCATTGAAATATTTTCAATTTCATTTGTACATTTTTTATTGATATTTTGGAATGTTGGATATTATTTGATGGCCATTTATTTATATCATAACATGAGCAAGACTTCATGGAAATGGTTTTGATTTTGTTAAAGAATTTTACTCAAAGATATTGGACATATTTTTATTTCTTTGAGGTCTTGTTATCATTTAAAAGACTTGTTTTAACTATTTTCCAATTATTTCCATTAATTGATCCCCCCCTCACAATCATTTATCAAATTTTTCCCATTTCCAAAATTAACCAGTTTATTAAGATATCCTACTTATTAAATTTTCTGAGCTTTTCCACACGCCATTTATCATGAACACTCATTTATTTGGCACCTGAAAGAAGCCACTTAAGAAAGAAACCTTGTCAATTAGAAAGTTTAAAAAAAAAAAGAAAAAAAAGTATCTCATCTGTGTTCTGATGAGGATTATAAACATTGAAAGTTTGTTCATTAAATATTACATGTTTTGAAAGGTTTATCTCATTTTTCATAAGGTATGATTTGTTCTGAAAATCATCTAAATTAAAAAAAAAAAAACAACAAAAACTCAGTCACATTTATTAATGGCACTCATTTTTTATAGTTTAATCAAAATCCTTTCTTCAAAAGTAATGCCAACTATTTATTTCCATGGAAAATACAACTGATCCAGGGAGCACAGAAACACCATTGGATAGAGCAAGTTGTTAGCTACAAAACATTATATTTCCACAGTCACCATCATTAGGTATTCATTTATGTCAGTGAGGAACATTTCATAGATTGATAGCTGTGCAGGGCTACTCAGAATGTGGCATGTTACATTCATCATTTATGTCACTGTTGAAATGCATTGCCCACCATCTAACTGTACTCACATGCACTGTTTGGTCTCCATAAACATCTGGAAAGTATTGATGAATGCAATTTTTTTTTTTTTTGTGCATGGAGGAATTCAATAATTGGGCCTTGTTACAGATTACAGCTGAGTGGCAAAGAAGAATGGGATATTGGTGGGAAGGTTCAAGTACTGATATATCACCACCATCTACCTCTAACATTGTGGCCAACATAAGATAAGGGATATTATTTTTAGAGCCACTCTTGTATTAGATTCAGAAGTTAAAAAATATAATTGATCCGTTTTCTTAATATCAACATAGAGTAATGTGTGTGTATGTGTTTTTCTATGTATGGATCTGAACAGGTTTCAGCATGCAATCAATAAGTGCATTGGACATCAAGAAGAAAGGAAGTTGACCTTTGAAACACAATGTAGTGATATATGATGATGCTCATTAACAAGCTGGGAGTTTGAAGAATAATCCTTTGATTGGCCATTTCTGCTGAAAGCATAGTTGGTGGTGATATTCTTAACATATCTCTGATCATTTCTCATCCAAAATATTTTAGTCTAAGATATGTGTGGGCTGGTAGCTGTGAATAATGACTTTTCCTTATCAAACAGATGAGAAAAAAAGCAATTCATACTATGTAAAAGAGGAACTGTGCTGCCAGTTAGTCAGTCTACCCTGGCAAACACTATAACGGAGAACTATTTGACACACTTTGCTTTCTCAGTTATCAAAATATAGTTGCAGCTATCCTGTTTTGGTGTCAAGCTAAGTACATAAATAAACTAGAATTATTTCTTCAATTGTTTTTGTCATCCATAATTTTTTGAAAATGGAGTCATTTTTCAATCACACCCCTTTTTCTACATTAAACCACAGTAATCACCCAAAAAGCTGCAACTAAAACCAAATAAGGTGGTGGTCCAAGGGATAATCCTACTTTATGCAGAATTTTAACTCATCATGTAAGGCAACAACCATGAATTAATAATGGAAGAAAAAAAGAAAAAAAAAAGAGGAAAATTAGAAGAAAAAAGAAGATAAAAAAAAACCTTGTTCACATCTAACAAACCTTATCTCAGAAAAATTGGAAATTAATGCAGCCAAACAGTATAGAGAATGTGTTGAAATGTGGAGAAAAGCGAAAAATCACAATAATATTATACAATAAAAGCCATCACAGAAGAAATGTCCTGGTCTCAAAAAACACTGAATCATATTTCAACCCTGACCACACTAAAGATGCTTTCAGAAATAGAAAGCATCCAATCATTACAAAGTCTGTCTGCAAACATAAACAATAATGAACCTATTGATGAGGAAATTATGTCATTAAATAACTCCAGGAGATTGCATACCTCTGCAATAGGAAACAGTATACCTGCTATGCTGACTTCCTAGTAGCATATAACCATATCAATAAAGACTTTTTTTTTCTCATCCATTAGAAACAATTTTCCATTCTCTGACTCCACTGTATGCATCAATTTATTAGAGGAAATATATCAGTCTACAAAATCATGCATGTCTGTCAAGAAACATTTCAAAACTCATCAGAAGTACAACAAAGAGAAAATGAGAGCTCCAGTCTAATTTTTGTCCTGGACTATGCCCTGCAGATTTATCAACACAAATGTGAAAAGATGAACAGATATATGTAATAACAATATATAAGCTTTTTTTATATATCAAGAAAAAAGTAAAAAAAGTGGAATGACAAAGTGGAAAAAGTTTTCATGTGACACGTTTTGTCCCTTTGGATGTAAACAAAACTAATCCAATGAAGTCCTAAGGGACAAAACATGTCACACAAAAACTTTATCCACTTTGTCATATATATATATATAAGTTTATAGAATTTCTTATCTCTATATTTGTAGATCTGAGTATATATATATATGATCCTTTTTTTTTTTTCTTAAAGAAATAAAAAGTTCTTTGCAACAATGAAAGGCCATCTAAAGATGGCCAAAGAAATTATATGAAAAATTGTGAGAAAAGCAACAGATGAATTATATGCGGACTCCTGAAAATACTTCCTCCAGATTATCTTAGCCAGGTTTTGGAAATGGAAACATACTGAAAACAAATATCATGATAGGAATCTGAAAAATTTGAGGAATAAGGAAAAAAATTGTTTCTAAACTTCAGACAACATTCATAAAGAAAAGTAAACATCTAAAAAATACTAAAAATTTTGTTCACATAGACCCTTTGTGATCCACATTTTGGCATATGCATATTTTAGTCTTCTTCCAGTGATGAAATCAAGATATTATATATATATATATATATTAATCATTTTACCCCAAGCAAGGCAGGAATGCCACTAGTACACAGGGAGTTACAGAGAGTGAAGGTGAGAGAAAAGACTGGGTATAGAGGGGACCAAGGAAAGGATAGAAGCAGAATGGGGTTCAAGAAGAGAGAAGATGGTGATTGATATTGCATTTAAAATTTTGAAGGTTGTAGTTATCAGGAAAGTAAGGAAATGGATGAGAGTTCCACAGTTGGGAAGTGTGAGGAAAGAAACTGTTGGAGTAGAAGTGGCGATTATATTTACCTAATTCAGCAGTAGAAGAATGGGACCTAGATGCCAATCTAGTAGCATGCTTAAACTCACGTAGTCCAGGCAACAGGGAAAAAAGCCTGTCAGTGCAGTAGGCATGAAAATATTAGTAGAAATGACAGAAAGTGACTGAAGTTAAGATGCTAAGTCAGGATCAAATACATTGCAGATCCTTCTTTGGATTTTGTCAAGAACTTCAAGATGAATAGCAGGAGCACCTGACCAGATAATGGCAACAGTATTCAATGCATGGACAAATGGTAGATTTATAAAAGTGCAAGATGAACTATGACGAGAAAGACTTTCTGGCACAACACAGTGACCAAACTTTCCTTGCAGGAGATGCAACTATTGATTTGATGTAGCCATTCCACTTCAAGTCTGTTGAAAACATGGGGCCAAGAAGGTGAAGTGTGTCCATGAGTCTAGCATCAGCCATTCTGATGATGTACAGGAAAGTTCCTTTATGGTGGTTAAATGTGAGCGGTTTCATTTTGGAGACATTAAAATTTACAAGCCATTTCCTGCCCCAGTTAACCACAGATTGGAAGTCCTTTTCAAGAACAGCTGCCAGGTTAACTTTGTCAACTTTAATGGATTTGCTATCAAGACAGGAGTAAATTTGAAGAAGACTGAAGAATGGCTTAGCTGAAATGTGAAAACTCCATTAAAAACAAGGGAGGAATTCAACAGAATTTGGAATGTTAACGACCTCATAAGTATAGACAATGTAATTAATGAATATCTGGAAAGATTTTTTTTTTTTTGGTTTATAAAAAACTGAGAAGCTCCATATTTAAAAAAAAAGAAAAACACTACACAATTCTGGTATTGCAAGGGAACTATTCAGTTTAACTAAACTCTTAATGAGTATTAATAAGTTAAAAAGTGTGTGCTGAAAATATGAGGCCAGAGTACGTTAAAAAAGATCCCCTCTCCAATCCATTTTTTTTTTTTACTTTTTATAACTAATCAATTAAATTTTTCAATTTTAGTTCTTCAATTAACTAATTATTTTTGTTGTCTTTGATGAAGAATTGTCATCATTAATTTTTTATGAGTTTCTTTTTTTTTGTTGCAACATTTAGCTCATTTTATATTTTATACCCATTAAACAAGTAGCGTGAAACAGAAAAGTAATTATCCAATGAGATTTGAACTGCCTTATTCTTGAGAGTCTGCCTGAGGTGCAGTCAGTCAAAGCAAAATGATATTTACTGATTAGCTTTCATAGCCTAATCAGTAAAGCACACTTCTGAGGAGACAGGCTTCTTTGGATAAAAGAATCTGAGGATAATCTTGTAAGAAATTACTTTATTTCTGATCCATGATGCTTACATAAAAGGTTGTAGACTGTAAAAATGAGCTGAAAATTGCCATAAACAAAACACAAGATAAGGAAAACAAATCAAAAAATGAATATTTAAAAAATGTTTCTTTTTTTTTTTTCGTGACATTACTGTTCATTTTCAACGTTACATCAATAGCTACATTTTCATTTATTCAGATGTTGTTGTTATTATTCTCCTCTTTTTGTTGTTCCATTGCACGTTTAGAGTTTTATGTACTTTTTTTTAGCATTGTGCAATAAAACTGGGCTTTTTGCTACAAGCCAGCAACCAAATGATTCACTTGCTTGTGGATTGAACCAGCTATTCAACTTGAAATGTTTGTCTGACTTTCAAGATTGTGTTCCTAACTTCTGTTTTCTTTCTTGGTTACATCTCTCACCTGAATATGGTGGCAGAATATTCTGATTGAAACTAGTCAACAAAATGGAACATGAAAAGGAATTTGATGACAGTCTTGAAAGTCAAAAACAGCCATTTGGTCAAAAGATTTATTTTTAATATTTGAGTTTTTTTTTTGTTTAATTTTTTTTTTTTTAAATATTCTCAATGTTATTGTATATTAAATGTCCTTTCTCTTCATAACTTTATAAGCTTCTGTCTGAATTTCTGGGATGAGGAGTTATTTACATTCAGACTAATGTCTTCATCTATGTTATTAGCAAAATGTTTCAGCCATTGTGCTATACAGCCTTCTTCAGGTGTCTGTTAACCTGGGTAAGCTATAGGGAATTTTGAACTGTATACTTTATTTAATCTATGTAGGTCAATTGAAATTTCTTGAAGGTTATCAGGATTGACACACCTGAAGAAGGTTGGGTGGGGGAGCACAATGGCCAAAATTTTGTGATAATAAGAACAAAGATAGGGACATTATTAAATAATGTAAATAACTTTCAAAGTTTGTTTGCTTGAATGAATTATATTAATTATATTGCTTGTTTTAAAATCTCAATCTCTTGAGTACATATGTATTTATGTATGAAATATTCAAATGAATTGTTGTAATCTGACTATGAACAAAATTTAAGACAAAAAAATCATTTCATTAAATGAGTGCTTTTAAAATAACAGTTTAAAATAGATAATTTTCATCTAATATAACAAATGGAAGTGTTTGTTGAATACAGACTCAAAAGCTACTGGATGGATTTCAACCAAACTTTACATACTGATAGAATATGACCTAGGAAGTGATGAAAGGTCAAACATGAGGTCAAAGAAACCATTTTTTTTCATGGGGGTTAAAATATTTATTCCCATTTAAAAACAAAAAATAAACCAAAAAAAAAAAATATGGTGGTAAGGGAGGTAAATCAACTTTTGGTAGTAAATTAATGTGTGGTTACATCCTTTAGTCATTTTAATAATTAATACAAATAAAATGAAGTGTGAGACAAAATTAGTTTTTCAGTCATGCTAGGTATCTCTGTTGCTAATAAAATCTGAAATTATTCTGTATTTTATTTAAAACTAAAAACATCAGGCCTTGTGCCAAACTAAGAGAAATTTAGTAAATATTTCTAAGGAAGATGAGTCGTTAAAGTATTAGACTCGAAAGTCATTGCCTGAACAAGTTCTGGTTTGTGAGGATTAGCAAACTCATCTCTTGGACCACTTTTCTCGTGTCAATGACTGTGGCCTTGTGCCAGACAAACTTGGTAGATAATCAACTTTATGTGCCTAGTGGTGGGAAAGCTTGTTTCATAGTCCAGTTTGTCAGTGTTGTGAATTTCATTCTTATTGAGTGCCCCATCTTTGTAACTTTCTATTAGATTAACCTAAATTAAGTAAATCTCACACACAAAAAAAACAAAATACCATTGAAGAGCATGTGAATAGAAGTTCTATGAATGGTATTGAACCAAAATTTTTTCTTTTATTAATATAATAATTTTATTGGTTGTGCAGCCTGATAAACTCTACTTGCTAATAATATTCTGTTATGGCAATAAAGCTTCACTTGAAATCAATAAGTGAATATGCTTTGTCTTTCCATAATAGAATATCTTATTAGCAAGTAGTGAAAACAGATTGCTGATAGTGTTTTTTTTTTTTGTGTGTTTGCATCACAAAAATAAAATGAATTCTTTACACAATAAAGTTAATTGATATAAAAATCCAAGAATATAAACAATTGTAAAAATAGTTACATTTTCCTCATCAATTATTATGTAATGGTTAAACTGGTTTAAATAGTAAAAAGTTTTTGAAGCAAAATGAAATAGGAAACACTTGTACCTTTGTGATAGATCCTCCTAAATATAACATGCATGTTTTAGGTGCTTGTTGTAAAGCAATGGTTAACAAACCTTGAAGCTCCACTATTGTGACCTTGTGTCAGACTAAGCTAGAATAACAAATTTCTGCTTTACTATCATTTATGTATTAAGAACAATTTTAACATTGCTAAAATCTTCTACTAAAATATAAAGCCTTTAATTTTTTTTAACCCTACAGTGTCAGGTTTTGCCATTAATCTACAATTTACTTAAGTGGCAAAATTTTCTTTAGATCAGAAAGAAAAAAAAGGTGCCATTATGGTGATAACTAAAATATTGTTAATTATAATTAATATTTGAAATTTAGTGAAAAGGTTTTTTTTTTACCTATCAGGACTTTTTTTTTTGTTCTTGTCTCTCTCTACCTTCCTTCTTTCCTTCATGCTCCCTCCCTCTCTAAAATCACCTTTCTCATTCACTATCTCCCACCCTCTGGGATCTCCTCTCTTCTTACCTGTCTCACTCACTTGCTTGCTCTCCCTATCTGGGATCCCTTCTCCTCTGCTCACTTTCCTGGATCCTTCTTCTCTTGCCTCTCTCTCTCTCTCCCCACTCTAGAATCCTCATTAACTCTTGAACCCTTTCTTTCTTTCTTTCTTCTCTGGAATTGCCAACCTCTACTTTCTAAAATTTGCAATCAATTGCCATAGATAGTAGAATTGACAAAACTACTATTGATGAAATGCAAAAAAAAATAAAAACACACACGTAAAATGTGATTCCCTTTTATAAAAAACAAAAAAATAATATAGACAAATGAAGACTAAAGAAAATGCAGCTGATTGCCTTTTGTTGCAACTGCAAAAAAACTTAGTATTACTTTAGTATATTGGAAAAATTTTATTAATCTAATGAATACAAAAAAAAATTTTTTACATGGGTTTATTAATAAATGAATTCTATTTAAATATGTTTTTTTTAAATGTTAATTTATAAATATAAAATCACACATTATACATATGATATACTAAGAAAATGTGCAGATATATTTTTATATTTTCAAGTTGTTGCCCCCCCCCCCACTTCTAACAGTTTTATTTTTTTTGGAAAAGTGACAAAATTTATATTGAATAATTTACAATAAATGTTTTTGGAATGTCTTCCCATTAAACAAATTAACATTTGCAGCAGTGTTTGATTAGTTTTCAACTTATTGTTTCTGTTTGCTTTGTTTGACACAAGGCCATTGGGGCAATCGGTGAGGATTGACCGGACTAGCTTGTTAGTTCTTAAAATACTGAAGTGCTTATTTTATTGTTGCTTTTAATCAGATGATTCTTGATTAAATATATTCTGACCATTTAAGTCAGAATAAATTGTCTATCCCCTGGGAATTAGTGTAAACTAATTTATTCCACACACAAAAACTCCTAAATTCTAATGTCTGATCAGATTTGGTGGAAGTAGGTTTGTTGTTTTTTTGTTAAGTATTTAACTCCATGCAAAGGATTATAGAGAGTGAAAGTAATATTAAAGAGGGGTGGTTAAGAAAAGGATAAAGAGAAGGATGGGGATCAAGATCAAGTCATCAGAAGATGTTGATTGACATTACATTTAAATTTTTGAAGATTATAGCTATCGGGAAAGCAAGTAAGAGGAAGGGAGTTCCACTGTTGGGAAGTGCAAGAGATGCTATTGGAGTAGAAGAAGCGGTTACATTTGACTGTTTCGATAATAAAAGGATGGAACCGAGATGTCAGCCAAAGAACTTTTCAGTGGCTGCATGCTTGAATGTGAACATATATTTCTTATTAACATTATATTTTAGTAGATACCTTTCATGTTTTAGACAGTCTTAGTTACATCTTCCAACTAGTGTATTTGAATATCTCAATAAAGAAATCTACCTTTAAGATTCTGAAATTCACGGGCTGATAGATGGAATTCACTTAAAAAAAAAATAATAACATGTCATCTATTCAAACACATGTAGCTAGCAAAACTTAATGTTTAACAGAAAACAGATTAAAAGAATCCATTAATTACTTAAGAAATTACTTTATTTTTTGTATTCCAAACTTAAACAAAGTTAGCAGATATAGACCTTCAAAAAGTTCCAACAATAGATGTGCATCTGTTAAATGAAGTAATTGAGTCATACTTTATCATGATAACGTTCCATGACCTAATTGGTAAAAGGTACACTTGACTTAAAATTGGTTTCTTTGATTGAAAAAAAAAAGGCGGGGGAATAGATTTTTTATTGGGAGCCACATTTACTTTAGTAGGATTTCTTAGTCTGTAGGCTCATAGGCAGTAAGTTCATTGTTCACCCCCCCCCCCTTTAAAAAAAAAAAAAGTCCACAAATGTCCGCTCACTTCCTGTCTAGGATTGTGTTTTCGGTTCCTTCTCATTCTCTTTCACTCTCAATAGTCCCTTTCATCATAGTGGCTTTATTGCCTTGCTTGGAATGAAATGATTAAAAAAGCAAAAAAAAAGAAGAAAAGAAATAAAAATGTATTGATAATGTTTATAGTAATAATATATAGTAATATATATATGTCACTTAGCTGATTGATGTTACTTTTAGCGTCCCAATTCCAGCTTTCATTCACTCATCAGGGGATATCAGCTATATATATATGACATTAAGTGGTGGCATTAATAAAATTATACTTGATGTAAAACAGAGTTATGAATTATATATTAATACACATTTTTCTTTGTGTTTTTCCTCACCAATAGCACAATACAATCTTCAGCTGAAAATTGTGTTCTGCATGAAAGTTGTGCTACCAGTAAGAAAAAAAAAGTATGTTTCTTATTAATATATGCTTAATTTTAAAGGATGGAGATAACCTTTGGACATCATATTTGTACAAAATTAGTATTTGTGGGTTAAATACTGGTTGACTAGCTTGCTATTCTGAGTTACTATTGAGAATTATATTTCTGTGTCTGGTCACAGTTGATTTTCCCTTACCAAACATTGACATTTTGAACACTATATAAATGCTTAAGGATTATCCCTTCAGCAAGTAGGGAACAGTTCAACTCACAGACTCAAATGCTCAACTTTCATTCTTGTATGTATATACAGTTCAGCTGGATTAAAAACTTGATTTTTAATTGTAGTGGTTTTAATTACAGTTTTATTTAACAAATCTGTAGATAGATATTGGAATGAAAATAGAAACAGTTCAGTCCATGCTTAAAATGAACTGACTATTCAGATGTGCCCCTACTCTGTGCTTATTATAAACTGACCATTCAAAAGTGCTCCCTATTTTATATATTTTACATTCAAAATTTTGTTTTCATATGATATAGAGAGGTATGATAATACAATGGTGGTTGTTATACAAAATTAACCATTGGTTTCAGTTTTGGCTGCAGGTGTTTAGTGTTTATTTATTGACTTTGGAAAGGCATGTATCCACTTCTCCCTGCGGTTTCCTCTCATCAGATATCCAAATAGAATATCTTTTTGTTGGCATACCATAATAGTAAATGAAGATATTGGATGAGGGAGAATTTGAGAAAACCATTCTCCCATAACTTTGTGTGCAAGCAGTTGTAACAGTAAAAGGCTGTTATGCCTATTGTGAACTTTAGCAGGTGCCAGATATTGTGTGTAAAGTTTGGCCGCGCACATACTGACAATATCCTATATATGGAACAATTTTGCTTTTATCAAATGCTGCTGTGATTAATGTCATACACTGCCAATCAGTGTTTGCAATTTTTTTTAAGAAAATGGGCATACAATGAAATTAATGCAACAAGCGCCCGACGAGGCTGGCATCCCGCTCTCACCCCTTCACTGTTGAAACTTTTAAATGTAGCCGTCTCTTCTACTCCAATAGCTTCATGTCTCGCACCTCTCACCTGTGGAACTCCTTTCTCTATTCTAGTTTCCCTGAGAGCTATAATCTCCAGCTATTCAAATGTAATGTCAATCAACATCTCCAGTTGCCTTGATCTATCCACTACCCTTCTCCTCATCCTTTTTTCTATCACTCCTATCTGATCTTGTTCCAAATTTTCTGTAACCCCATGCATCCTAGTGGCTTCCCACCTTGCTTGGGGTGAAATGCTTAAAAAAAAAGAAAGAAAGAAGCAACATTCAAATCTGAACAATTGTGTGCATAGACAAATATTATTAAGGTAACAAGATTTGATATTTATCATTCCAAATCCAAGGCTACAAATAAACATTTTTAATGAGGATTTATACATTCTATTTACTTAATGTCTTTTTCCTAAAGTGAGCAATACAATTGCATTAAGATTTGTTTCATGCATTACAATAAAGTACAACAAGAACTTGAAGTGTTAGAAAAGCTTGGTCTACATAGAAAGGATAACCTGTAACTTGTATTGGATACAAATAGTTTGCATGCAGACAAACAAAACCCCAAAACAGAAAGTGGAGTATGAAGGGATGTGCTTCCTTTAGAGATTTATTCAACCTATACAGTGAGACTTTATTTTATTTTTTTTGTAATCAATTCACTCCAAGCAAAGGGATAATGCCACTAAGACAACAGGGGCTACTTGAAGTGAAAGTGGATGAGAAGGCTTTAGACAGAATTGAAACCCAATCTTCAACAGGGAACAAGAAGTTTGAAGAAAATTTAAGAGGAATTAATATTGGTAGGCTTATAACTTTAATGTCTACTGTGATTCAGAAGGAAAACTAAAAAAAAAAACAAAATCTATTAGTCAGTGTAGATGATGAGAGCAAGAAGAACTAACCATTTTAGCAAAAGAAGGCGCTATGCACAGTTGGAAATAGAAAGGACATCTCAAAGTGTGAGTTATGCATTGAGGACATCAAAATTAAGTAAATGTAGAAGTTTAACAATCTGAATATTATCATAACAGATGGAAATCTGAAAGCACATTGAAATAGTGATGAATAATTTTCAGAAAGAGATCAAAAATATTAAGAAAAATGGGTAAACTTGAACCTTTGTGTCTCCCCTCCCCACAACCCCCCCAAAAAAAACAGTGTCAAAAGAACAGCTTTTCCACTGACACATGAAAGTGAATTTATACATTTTCTTTGTTCTTGAGAATTGACAACAAAAATAATACAATTAGATTGTTTATTTACGTTATTATATTGTTTATTAAAATGGTTGACAAAACATCAGCTAATTGCTGATTGATTTGAACTTTATAAAATGGTAAATAAGGATTTTGTTATAGTTGCTTCATATATTTTAATAATTTAGTAAATGCTTATAAATTTATGAATAAAAAATTGTTTTCATATTTCTTTATAAATTGGTAAATGATAAATATTGCATTGCATTAGTTTTAATTATATTAGTTTTTAGAATGTTGTAAATATAAAATTATTCTTGTAAATAATTAAACTAAAATAGTGTTTAATATTTTTGTTGTGAATTCTCAAGAACAAAAAAATGTATAAATTCATTTTCATCATATGTTTAGGTTTTATTACAATTCAAATCATTGCTTAAAAAAATAACTTAGCTGAAGAGTAAAAGGTAGTTAAAATAATAGTGGTGTCAAGGGAAAACCTCTTTTGGCACCAATTTTTTTTTTGGTGGGCATGGAAACTTTTTATTCATTCTCAATAGATGTTTTTAGAAAAATGCTTTCTAAGTGCCATGTTCCTTCAGGAAATAAACTAATATGGCTGTTCAAGTTTACCAAAAACATTGTCCTCAGAAACAAAATAGTATTGGTCTACTATGTAATGTCCAGTCTTCTACATGGCAGCAAATGCTGGACAATATCTTCACAGATAAAGAACAGAAGTGACAGAGATATGTTTTTTTTTTTACATATGAATATTAAGAATACAATGGATAGAGCATATGACAAATGAGGAAGTTTTAAAGAGATGGAAACTATGAAGAAACTATTATTACAAAGAGAACTGAAATCTTATGTATGCATAATGAGGAAAGAATACTTAGAAAATTGAACACTCACATGGCACATTGGAAGCAAGAAAAACAGAGTTAAAAAATGAGCAAACTACTTGAAGGAGTAAATCTATGGCAGAACAAAGACCATTAAAGAGGTTTTGTAAAGGAATAAATTATTTAAAAGAAAAAATACAGGAATTTGTAGAAAGCTATATTAGTTTATTTCCTGAAGGAACATGGCACTTAGAAAGCATTTTCTCTAAAAACATCTGTTGAGAATGGATAAAAAGATTCCATGTGTTCCTAGAGATGTCTTCAAGGTAATCTGATGCTTTTTTTGATTACAATGTTTTTTTTCATGACTTATTCCTTGAAGAGGAAATGGACCTTCCTCTAGTAATGTCAGACACGAACAAGCATAATATCCTATTGATAACACTAGTCAACATTTTTTTTCAACCCAAATAATGTTGGGCCATGGGCACATGTTTCTGGGCTACTTTTTTTTTGTTTTTAAACACTGAATCTGAAAATCAGGTTCATTTTTTTTCCCATCCCATCACATTTTCTCAGTACAGATAATTTCTATTTTTCTTAAAATAGGCCAAAATACTCATTTGACAGTGATATGCCAGGGCTAAGTAGAACCAACCTTAAACATTTTCAGGTTAGAAAAATAACTTAAAGAATGCATTTTCAGTTTGGAAACATTTTCCAGTGAGATATTGCTCATAAAATCAAGCATTTTCAGGTCAGCTTACCTGAACTGAAATAGCTTAGAATTCATTTTGAAAGTTATTTAGATACTTTTTCTTGAACGATAAATCATTTCAACATGAAACAAAGTGTTCTAACTATGTCTCTCGTATATTTAAGCTGTAACATATCCCTGTGAATTAGGCATTTTGGCTTATTTTAAACAAAATAGAGATTATCTGTACCGAGGAAAATGTGATGGGGTAAAATGGACTTGATTTTTCAGATTCAGCATGAAAAAAATAGCCCAGAAACAGGTGCCCAATGGCCAACAACATTTTGGTTGAAAACATTGTCAACTGGTGTAAAGCAATCTACACTGATGGAAAATGAAATACCAATCCTCTAAAAGGACAATGCAAATTTTGACCTGAGTATGGTTTTATGAAATCGTCCAGCGAAAGGTGTCATACCACAAAAATAGATAAATACTCTTTTGGTTCAATTAAAGTGGTTTGAGGTGGGGAGCAGATTGTGGGCCTTGGAATAGTTGGATGGTCAGTCTGGAAAATGGCTACATCTATTGAAGGTCATACATTGGTGGTATTTTTTGCCAGATATGAAAACGAGCAATAATAAAAATTGGCTTTTTTTGCAATGACTCCATGGAACCTGTTGTACTTTCAAGTTTTTGATTTTTCTTAGCTCTTCCCACTGGCTTTACCAGTACTTCCTTATTTTAATCAATGTCTTTTCTCAAATAAACTAAATAGTTGGTTAAAACAAAATTGATTAAGTATAATTTTTGCCAAATTATTTTCTAGTTTCAGCATTCAATCTGTGATACACACTTAATGAGTATCAGTGGGGAAGAATTACTACAAGCATTACTTACAGAATGGAACAATGTATAATATAAATACATTATAAATGGTTTTACTTTAGAAATGGATTGAATATCAGAAATAAAGGTATTGTCAGTGGTCAGGAATTACTGCAAATATTACTGACAAAATAAACAATTTGATATCCAATGCATTATCTTGAGTGTTCAAATGTTGATATTTATACTTTTGGTGGGTGGATGATTTACAAATACTCATATAAGAGTGAAATACATTGGATGCTTCCATTATGCATCCTATAATGAAGTAATTTGAAACAAAAAATGTAATGCCTTCATGCCAGAGAGGATTTTTATTTTATTTTACTGTGTTGAATGTTACTCTCTTTCTGTGATATGTAATATGTCACCCAATTTTTCAGGAACTTGTCGTTGAAAAGTCCTAACATGACTCAGGATCCATCATTATTTGGGGAAAACCTCAATGCAAGTCTCAGGGTAAGATCAATTTTTTCATTCCTTTAAAACGGTCTCCCCTTTGAGGCCCTGTTATTTTGTATTTTGCAACAGAACTATTTTAGCTGAAAACAGTACAGACAGACAACTGTATACCAGTGTTAAAAACTTATTTACATTTCATAGCCTTGTGGGTAAGGACTTATTTCCCACCCTAAAGCCCTTTCCCCCATAAATGCAATGTTGCAAGCCTATCACTACTTCCTTAACAAATGTTCAGAGATCTCCATATTTTTAGTGCCACCAGCTCAGATCTTTACAACCATGACTGGCCTTTCTACGTCCACACAGTTGAATCATTCTCATTCCTTATGTATTCCATTAGTAAGAAGAATATTCTACTTGGAATGATTCTTCCCAAAAAAACCATTACTTTGCAAGACAGACACCCATATGATTGCTTTCCTGAACGGTACAATATTAACCTCTTCAAGTTTAGTATCATTCATTATCTATCCTTCATATCTTCTTAATTTTTTACTTCCTACTTGTATGTTCATATCACACGCCTCATTCAGTAACCCTCTACCTTGAGTGGGTCTTGTATTGAGCGAAATTTAGTTTTAAAAAATAATGTAAATTTCAGGAAGCAGATACAAAAAAATAAATATATAAACACAAGGAATAGGTGAGTCCATTTCACTATACAATAGGCCATTTCCTAACCTTTAAAACACAATTCTGTTTCCAGCTACCCTTTTGGACTATTTAGGGAAAATTCTACTGAATGAACCATCCAAGTGGACAATGAGTGTCACAAGTTTTTTTTTTTTTTTACTCCCAAAGTAGCTTATGATCTATTCATTAAGGGAGTTTGCCAAAATTATTCAAATAAAGTCACTATAGTTTATGAAATATCCCAAAGTGTCTGTTACAGGATCAAAATTTGAACTTTGATACCAGTTACAAATTAATTGCTTTGGATTTCACAAATGATATTTTCACTAATAAAATAAGACAACATTTTTTTTTATACATATTCTTCAAGTATAATTTGTTGAAGAATCTTTTTTCCAATCTTTACTGTTGTGTCATGGTTATCATTAAGTGGCTAGTTCATTGTTTGAAAGGGATTTGGATTTTTCCAAATTTCATTATCAGACCCCAGCATGAAGTGAATGATAGCCAAAGGCAGGGAGTGAAATCTGAAAGCAGGGAATGATGGCTGAAGGCCCAAACCCAAGGAATGATAGCTAATCATCTGATTTGATCTAACTCAACATATATTGATATACAACTCTGTATTAACATTGTATGGTTCCAAAAACAACTGAAGAATAGTTTCACAGAATATTCAAATAATATCAACATAGCTCATTCAAAATAGCTACAACTTCAAAATCAAAAGTTTGAAATTGTCATCAATTTCCTTGGATTTAATGGCAGACATTCTATGAAATAGTTACAGAGCTTGAACTGCTATAATCATCAGCCAATGATATAAAGCCAAACAATTTAAATCTCAAAGTCAAGTGAGATGTGTAGGTATGTATTCATTTAAAAGACCACATCTAGCTAACATACAAAATGAAACAAGGAATATCTTTTTCCAGATATAAGAAAAGAAAAACTCATTGATGCTGCTGTCTTTAAAAGCACATTATTGTACTGATTAATGACTGGAAGGTTGATATGATTCAAAACCATTTCTGTACAAGCTCAAATTAAAAGCAATAAAGCAGACATTTCCAAATTCAGAATTGAAAGGATCAAAGCTGACATTTTCTGGGAAGAAATCTGAAGATGGGTTTAATAATTTTTATTTATTTCTTTCTGTTATTACAGGCTGCATTGGGAGATAACAATTTATCCCTAATAGCCAACGGTCAGTTGCCCTCTGGACCACTGGATGGTGTTGAGGATTTATCTATGAAGTCTCAAGCTAGCCACTTAGAAAATCTCAGTACAGAACCAATCAGGTAAGAACTGGCAAAATAAAAAGTGATTTGAACTTGTGGTTGTAAATGAAAGATTAAAAAAATTTATTCTGTAGGTTATTTAGTTTGGTTGAGTTGTGCTGTAGGTACTGCGATCTGAAACAATTTTTTTTATATTACTATAGCTCAGTGGTTCTTAGTCTTTTTGTTACCCATGGACCCTTTCTCCCTTCTATTTTTTTTCTTGGTGGACCCCTTAATATCTATTTGACACAAGACAACAATATTCTATTTTTCACTAATAAAAATTTTGTGGTTTTAATAATCAAAGAAATATATAATTAAGCTTTATTTTTAAATGAAAACTAATTTAATGCAAATAAATTATTCTACAATAATAATAATTATAGTGATAATAATTTTTATTGACCAATATCTTGTATCACAATGTTTCTTCCATGGTCAAGGCCATGGGGAGCCTAGCGCTTCAGGCAATTGAATTCACTGCAGCATTTATTTATGCACACTGGTTAAAAATTTTATTAAATCAATTTAAGTGTGTGATTAGAAAGAAAAAAAAAAAGCATAATTATTCTGAGTTGGCTTTCTTTATGGACCACCAAAATATCATTGATGACCCCCCCCCCAATCTGGGATATTTTGCCTATGGACCCCTAGGGCCCATGTGCACCCTGGTTGAGAACCCCTGCTACAGATTAAGCATTCTGAATCACAAATATGAATTTTTTTTTTTTATTAGATTTTATACAATTTGGTGTGTGTGTGTGTGGGGGGTGGTGTCAGTTGCAGTTTGTTATGTAAATTCTATGGAAGCCAAAACAAAATATACAAATACCATGGGGTTTCTTAAAATTTTTAAAATAATTATTTTTTAAATATCAATCTGGTGTGCTTAATGGGTACTAATAAATGAAATATTCACACTAAATTACAAATTTAAAATATTTTTAAATTTTAAGAGATCATGTATGATTGTCTTTTGTTTTGGCTTACATGGGGGGGGGATCAATTTATAATGAATTTGCATAGCAAACTGTCACCCTTTAAGTTATTAAATTTTTCTTTTTTTAGTTTGTGATTGGGTATTCAAGATCTGGAGTGCTTAGCCAGAATACGAGAAGAAATTTAAAAAAAATTATTTCTGGTTGCAATGCCTATTGTATTTTTTTCACCATTTTGGCCAATATGTTTTTCCAACTTCTTCAGGTATTTAATTTATTGCATTCTTTGGAATAAATTCAAAATTATTCGGAACCTCATTGGTGGTTGTATAGATAGAGCCTGACAGAGTGGTTCATGCAAATTCAATGCTATATGACTGATCAAAAACAGTTTTTTAAAAAGTAAAAATACAATATCAACAGTGTCTTATACGTGAATTTTTCTCAGATTTACTTTGATTCCTGTTAAGTATGCAAGAAGTTTACAAGAAGTTTAAAAATTAATTTTAGCCTTGGTGCTTGGGGTCAAATTCTGACAGAGTTTGTGTTTACTTTGAGCTAATATCCTCAAGAAACGCACAAGTTAACCTATTCTCTCTTACCTTTGGTTGGCAGCCTGTCTAGAAGAACTACTCTGAATTTAAAATTGAAGACTGTGGGAAACCACCCTGCAATCTTTTCCAAGAATAATGATAATCATGCCTAGAGAAAGGAACTGTGGAGAGCTATGATCTCTTACATCCTGAAGGAGAATGGCAGTAAGAGAGAGACAGTGGAGATCTGTCCCACCAGATTGCACCCTACCCAAAAGTCTTGGGTCAAGTGTATACTGGTATTTTTGTTTAGTTGCTATCCAGATGCAAAAGAGCCTGATTTGACATTTTGTATCCTGGAGTATATCAAAAGAAGTACCTATGAGAAAAGTCACAAATCAAATTTTTGTCTTGAAACTAGAGATCTATCCTCTTTAAAGAATCAAGTCATTCACCTAGGTATTTTCTTTTTGTACCAACCCATATGACAGAATAATTTTCTTCTTTGCATCTGTTGATATTCAAAATACTGTGGATTATTCTCGCAATCTTTACTGCTAAGAACTAATATCTTTAAGACAATAAAAAAGAAACCTTGTTGACTGATAACATGAAAGAGTGTTGATGAATTCATCAGCCAAAATGGACTGATATAAAAAAAAATAATGTGAATGCTAACTTGTAGATTCAATGTAACATTTCAGATTTTCAGACAGGTAAGAATTTAATATTTGACGAAAATCTTCCTGATTTTCTTCACTAAAGTCAAGAAACCTATAGGCCTCTGCATTATTTAAATGTATATTTTCCATATTTGCAGTTGCCTCTTTTTCAATTTCAAAGTTGTTTTTGCAGTTGCCAAGGCAGGACATAACTACAAATTTCAACAACACATTTGTTTGGTAACCAGAGTTGTCTGAATCCATGGGGTGCTAAAGGTTTTTAAAACTAGGTAAAAGTTTAATTTATCAGCTCAGCAAAATTTATGACATTTTGATCATGGAAATCGAAAAGAGAAATCAAAGTGATAAGAGCTGAAATTGTTGGTGAAATTGAACTGATTATTTCTGATACTGATTCATTAGCCTTTTTAAATGATGTGATTTTGAATATTCTTGTTCTTGATAGACATGGCTGTTTACAACAATTATCATCTTTGAAATTTTCTTGATGTTTAGAGTCTCAGAACACTTGAGCTCAGATGCAAATAAACTTCTATTAGCATCCAAAATAATACAGCAGCCATTTTGTCTTACAGCTAAGATTTGTTTTAAGGAAAATGAGAATTAAAAGTATGTGCATTCCTTATGTAGGAGTTTTGCTTTATCATGATGGTCTCCCTTGACCAAATTGGTAATGGAATGCTTTTGCTACAGAAGTGGTTTTCCTGATGGATAACGTGAATACTCATTTGATTTAAAACATCTCGGTTAAAACGGTTGGCATTAATTTCACTGTTTATAAAATTAAAAAAAAACAGGTGATGTCAACTCAAACATGTGTACCTAGTAAAAATAACATTTATCGTAATAAGAAACAATTACAATCAGAAAGAGACAGGTGAAATTTCTGGGACATATAAGGGAAGAGAGTCTGCAGATTTTGATAGTCACAGGTCATGAAGAAAGAGGTAACAGTGAATAACCTACCTAACAACTTTATATAAATGGATGGCAGAGCAAGAACTGGGAGGTGATGGTAAGGGGACACATGTTGATTAGAGCTAAGAAGAACTGGAAGAGGCAGAGAGCCATGGTAACCCACATACTAAGACAGTGGTTCCAAACTTTTTTCCTTTGGACTGCAATTACAAGAAAGGCATAATAATATTTTAAATTTCATATTTATTTTTGGCATATGAATTTTTTGAAACTATTACTAAATCTTTGATCATCTTTCAATCATTCCACCTGTCCTGCTTTCCTCTTCCACTACACCTATGAGGGTGTGCTGCACCATTTAGGAACTACTGTGCTAAATAAAAATATAAAAGATGCTTTTTTGTTCAATTTGACAAAAATTTCAAATTCATGTTAATCAATTTTGGGACGTGTCAGAAAACCATTTTTACATCAAGCAAAGCTTAGCATATTTGAATTCATGAATAGATTTAAAAAAAAAAAAAAAAATCTAAGAATTTGTTTACATATGCTTATTATCAAATATATCCCATGATGCTTTGTTCAGACTTAAATGCATCTTTTTTAAACAGCCACAACTCATAGTAGAAAAGAAATGAACCGAACAAATCTAACTCCATGTCAGTCAAGTCAACAGGCGTTAAAAGAAAGAAAAAAAAAAAAGCAATCATTTCAAGTCTTGTAAAAAACATTTTCTTTTTTTGTGATTTCAGTGAAGAGGAACTCCTTTTAAGTATTAAACAAGAACCCCCCTGTGAAACGGACAACATGACAACTACACCTTCGATATTACGTCCATCCGAGCTACCAATGTTGGGTCCATCGGCAAGTGAAGCTTCACTGATGACCTCTCAGCCCTCTGATACTGCTGCCATGATGGGGAGCAACTCAGATACACCAATGCTCAGGCAAAACCCAAGTGACACTACTCTCATGTGTTCTGCAGCAGATGTGTCATCTTCGATTCATTCAGTTGATACGCCGACAATGTGTCCGGCCACGGACTCCTCTTTAATGTGTACTGGTAACGATACATCGATGATGGGAGAGACCTCAGACATGTACCCACCGTCAGAGGCATCAGGCACAAATGATACCATCAATGATCATGAAAACTGTGCCGTAGATTTCTCTATGGTTGAAGAACCGGCCACACCACCGCCGCCAGACAGATTGGAGTCAAATCATGGGGTTCAAACTCCATCTGAATTAGTCTCACATTCCTCAGATGCATAAAATGTATTCCTAATTCCTGGAGGCAATCAGTTTTTATATTTCTGGGAGAAAAGTCAAAAGGTCAAGATGAAACAGTTGGAGGTGAGATAGAAAGTAAAAAAGATGAGAAAAAAAAAAAAAAGATTAAAACAAGACATGAAAGAAAAAAAAATTGCTGAAAAGGCTTGATTGAACAATATGTTTAGAATACATTTACTTCCAGAATATTAGCTGATGTCATTTGGTCACTGACACTGATACAGTTTTCTTTCTTTTTTTTTTTTTTAATCTTTTTTTTTCAAAATCAGTCTAGTGGAGTATGGTCAATTAAGAAAATTTAAAAGAAAAAAAAAAACAACAAAAAACAAAGAAAAATGAACAAAGTAAAAAAAAAAAAACGCAAAAAACAATGAAACAAAAATATGCAATTAAAAAAAAATATGGTAATAAGAAGTGTAATGTGTTGTTAAAGTGACCTAATTTGCTAAAATAAAGAATTAAAAAAAAAAAAAAAAAAAAAAAAAAAAATTGACTCCAAAGATGATTAAAAAAATGATTGAATGGAAAAAAAAAAACATTAGAAGGAATTTACTTATAGGAATTGTTTACAAATCTGTACCGATTTCAAATTCAAATCATTATTTCAAAGGGCAATATGTGAAAAAAAATGAAACAAAACAAAAAAAAAAACAATGACGTTCTTTTGCCCTTGATGTCAGACAAGACGTCCAATCATAGTTTTACAATTTTTTTAGTTCCTTTTCTCTCGTTAACATTATTATTTTCGTTCACAGAATACCAGCTTTAGATGAACTGTGCAATATCATTTGCAATATGAGTGAAAGAAAATAATGGTAGTTGAATGATTGGCAGTGAATAAGCGTTTGGCTGGTCAATTATCATTTAGCACCCCCCCCCTTACTCCCACTCCATCAAGAGGAAAAAAAAACAAAAAAACGAAAACGAAAACAAAATCTCACAAGTCAACCATAAAAGAAAACTTTTAAGAAAGTAAACAATTAGTAATTCATTTAATTTTTTTATTATTATTAAATAAATTTTGCAGATGAGTGGTATTTGTATGTAAGTAAGTAAAGAATGCAAGTATGTATGACCTTTTATTATGGGTTTCTTGTAGGCAGGTAACCAAAGAAAAGTAAAGAGAGAGAGCGGGTGGGTAAAGATGGAAATCAAGCAAAGGAGGAAAAAAAAAAAATAAAATAAAATAAACCAGAAAAGTCTAAATGTTTTAAAAGGGAGAGAAGTGTATGTTTCCAAATGAAACACATCCTCTTCATTTCCTTCCAAATTGGTGGGATGCAAGGCACTGAGGTGGGAGCAGGAAAAAGAAAAGATTGCGCATTTTACAAAAAAAAACAAATAAATAAATAAAACAAAGAAAAAAAAAAGAAAGAAAGAAAAAAAGTAAATCAAATTTAAAAGAAAAAAAAAAAAAAAGAAGAAAAATCCTAGCATGAAAAAAAAATCATCAAGCGAAAATAAATAAATAAAAAAAATACTGTTTTGCAGGTGAACTTAAAAGCTATAATGGAAAAAAACCAAGACAGTACACAATCTAACAGCTTGGAGAATTTAATCTTTTAGGAAGAAGATGGCAAAAAAAAAAAAAAAAAAAATTAAAAAATACAAAAAAATAATTAATTCATGAGTCCCGCCATAAAAAAAGAAATTTAAAAAAAAAAAATTGTGAACTTTTTAATCTTCTTCCCTAAAAATGTGAAGAAGGGGAAACAACTGACAAAAGAAAAAAATTTAGATAATTTCATGTTATTTTTTAATTTTTAATAACAATTAAAAAATTGAGCAAACAAAAGAAGTAATTTTTTATACTATATTTATAGTTACATTTCACAAAATGGGAATTCTTTTGTTTGTATTTTTTTATTTATCACTTGTTTTTTTTGTTTTTTTTTTGTTCATTTATATTCCTTCATATCTGTGAAAAAGAAAAAAAAATGATTTTTAAATCTTAGAAACCATGGTAAAAGGTAATTTTAATCCTGAAGCTATTTCTTAGAATTTTGTTTTTTGAAACCATATATATATATATATATATATATATATATATATATATATATATGTGATGTGTGTGTGTGTGTGTGTAGTGGTGAAAAGTTCTCGGCACAACCAGGAATCTCTTAAAAAAAAGAAAAAAAAAGTCTGATATTGATGTTAGATTTTAAAAAGAGGAATGGACCAAGAAATTTTCAGCTCCCATACATATATATATATATATATGTATGTATGTTATTTGACCAAAGAATGATAAACTTGTGTTTGGAAAAAAAACAAAAATATAAAATAATTATGTGGTCTGTTATTGAGTGGCCAGAAACATTTTGGAAGAAAAATAATCTTTTGTGAATATTACAATATTGGTAGATATTTTTGATGGCTAATATTCCAACCTTCATTCCATTAGATAATTTCATTATTTAAATAATGTTTTATGCAACAATTTAGAAAAAAAATGCTCTGGAACATACTATCAGTTTAAGATTGGGTTGGGAATACTTCTGCCATAGTTCTGTGAAATTTAATTATAATTTAAACAGTAACTTAGCAAGAGAGAGAAACATGTTAAATCTGATACCACTTTGGTAAAAAAAAATTCTTTTCACTAGAATTTCATCACAAACCTTGTCTGAAATATACAGGTTATTCATGTTTGATGACAGATTAAACTTTTGTTTCACCAACTTATGAAATAACTAATTGAAAAAAAAAAAAAAAAAAAAATCTTCCAAGACAGTGATATATACAATGCATAAACACAGGATATGTACCAAGTAATACAAGATTTTGGCAAAGACTTTGTAATGACATGCAAAGATCTACATATTAAGAATGTGTCTATCTAAATTTATGACATAAAATCCATTCATGACTATATATTATTTATCTTAGCATGATGGTAGGAAGCTGTTGTTATAAACTGAGCTATATGAAGGTAAGTAAATGAATTATGCATGTGTGTATGGGTATAGTATAGTGTAGTGTATAATATGTATATTATATATGACCACAATAGTGTGTTTTGAAACCGTTTCTCATAACATTTAATTAAATGCCAAATATTTTTAAATTAGATATCACCTTTACAATGTTATGAGGTTTGGTTAACAACATAAAAAATCATATTTCCCCAACTAATTTTCAATAAAGGCAAGCCTCATATATTTAAAAATAAAATAATATTACTTTTATTTAAATGACAAGTTCCTACTGGACATGAGCAACCATTACTCTCAACAGATTCTTTGTGTGTGTGGTGTAACCTGGAAAATATAGTGGAGTTGTTTTCAGTTCTTTTCTCTGCCGCCAATTTAGAATTTAGTGTTTTCCTTCTCTTAGACTAGTAGTCCCACAAGACTAGAGAAGTGAATCCAGTCTACACTATAGCCAAGGGAGATGAAACAAACAAAGGCTTTAGTGCAAATGTGAACACAACAGGTGAACCTGGATTTGATCTTGGGTTGATAATTCCATTTATACTATCTGCATATCCTATGACTATATATATATATATATATATATATATATATATATATATATATATATATATGGTATATATGGAATGAATTCCAATAACCAACAATTACTATTCTTAAAAGAGTGCTCAATACAAAGTAGAGCAGATATAATTATTTTTTATAAATAATTATATATAAAGAGAGACAAGATTATATCTATTATAAATAGTAGAGTTTTTATAATAGTTATATTTTTGTCTTTATTTTCTAGTGAATATTGTAGAATCTAAGAAGACTATAAGAATTATTTCAGTTGTTGGCAACTAAAACCTGAGCCTTGGTAAAAAGCTGTGATCACCTACCTACCTCGATGGCAAATCTGTCTGTTACACCCCAAATTTTGATTTAAATATTGTTGCAACATGTTCCATCACTCTTCCATAATTAAAAGTTAACATTATTCAACAAACCACAAGGTATGGTGAGAAGGAGAAGTTATTGTCATAAAACTTTGATAAAATAAGTTATAAAAAGGGGCACAGTCTTATTTTTTTTTCCACCATATTTCTTTCATCTTAATCACCGATAATCATTCAATGATCATTAAGTGTGAATTTTGATTAATAATTCTTTCGTAATTTCATTTTTTTTTTTTTTTTTTTTTAAATCATAGAATCATTGCATAATTGTTAACATTTTTCACTTCTGTGTTGTATATATCATTGTTGCCTGGCTATGTTGGCCTATTTTGGGAAAATAGGAGTTTGTCATTGACTAGAAATAAATGACTATAAAAATGTTGATGGTGATTTCTCATAGGCACCACCACAGTTTTGATTTTCATCAGATACTCTGCAGTACAGAAAAATAAACAAACCCCAAATATACAATAAACGTATATCACAAAACAGGTTGTACTGGATGCTACTATATGTCTACATTGTGTTGAAAATAGCACTAAGCACTTGTTTATATCACAAATGCTAGGGACCAATATTTCATGAATAATTGCTGGAGGGTCTGTCTGCAAAAAAGCTGGGATGCTGAAGCTAACATCAATCAGTTAAAAGACAAATTTTATATTTGTATTATATATATATATAAAAATGAATAAATAAATAAATAAATAAATAAATAAAAGGTGAACATTGAAGTCAACAGGCTGTTTCATGCTAAACACAATCATCAGGCCGCCTGATGATTGCATCTAGCATGAAACAGCCGGTCACCTCTGAGTGTGGACTTTAATGTTCACTTTTATATTTACATATGCTCTATCTCTGATATTGAGCACTTTATCCCATGAATATAGCACACCTTAAAACTATATATATATATATATATATATATATATATATATATATATATATATATATATATATATATATACACTTTGATAGCAGGTGATGTAAGTTTTGTAAAGATGTACAAGAACATCTACAGTAGCATATAAGTATCAAGTTGTGTGGTTTTTGATAGCGTTTCTTCCATCTTAATTTCACTTGCTTTTTGTATTACATCTCAGGC